TTGCAGAGACCTAAAATAATTAAGAACCGAACAAAACTCGCTTCCTGCGAGAACTCATTCCTAGGTTAACAACGAGTAGTTTTCCCTTTCGTGGGCTGTGTAAAACTTTTTCGGTTATGGTCTTCCAAGTAGCACCAATGGTTCTTGAGTTTTCTTCAGAAATTCCCGAAACTCTCAAAGTAAGAGCTGTTTCCTATAATCATGAACCGCATTTTATACAGGGTGACTGCTGTGAGTATGGCACAAAAAAGAATGTCACTGTAATGTGATGGGGTGTGAAGTTGAGGACTGAAACAGATTAGGACCAAATTTCTCACATGTGCCACGCCTGTCTCCTCCATTTTTGTTTCGTCATACTTGCCCTCAACTCCCTCTCAAAGCTGCGCCAAATATTTCTAGAAAGAAATATACAAATTGGTACTATGAAGAGTACGTACTCTGAAGGCACAAGATTCGCGAGGTGGAGATATATACCAACTTTTATCATTATGTGAGTTAGGTTTGTGCCGTTTTTAGACACCATCTCAATCCATACAGAATAACGATAGACAAACTCTGTATGCAACGTTCCACGCAGAAATTCTTTATCTTTCCAGCACCAATGTTTTTGTTCGGATTCCTTTGATGTTCGCTTGAAAAAGCCTCAGATTCTTCAACCCATGGTCTTTAACCCTACCCTAATTTTTGCTATTTTTCAAATTTTCGTGTTGGATTTTGAAAAAATTTGATAACAGTTGGATAGAGTAAACAAAATGCTACAAAAACCAATTTTTTGGCACTGATAGCTGGTTTTTCAGTATTTTTGAAAACGAGTACTCTAAAAGTCTTCACATGCGAAGTCGTAGAGTATAAACGCTTAAACACTACGAAATCTTCGCAAATGGGAAATTCCAAAAATCAATTATGATTAATTATTAATTTTAACAAGCAAATGAGTTTCTACCGCCTCGAAATAATTGTTTATGAAATTTTCTGGTGCAGCCCGGAACGGATCAAAAACCTAGAACTATGGTGATTTTTTCATCGAGGCCTTTGCGAATCAGAAAGAAAAAAACCTGTCAGAAATAGGAGAAGAAGTTGCATCGTGACATCCTAGCTATTTGCCGTTCAATGCTCTACAAGGTTTGAAATAAACAAATATTAAATGGTAGCATCAAAATGATAATTTTAGAATATTTGGAAAGCTAGTTAACGATGCCAAAATGTATTAGATTGCATTTTGTTTGCTCTATCTGTTATTAAAGCATTTCCAGAAGTCCAGAACGAAAACTTGAAAAACAGCGCAAGTGAAGGTAACACTAAATTACATGGGTTGAAGAATGTGAAGTTTTTTGAGCTAGCATAAGAGGTATCCAAACGAAAACATCACTGCTGGAAAGGATCCCCTGGGATCCCTAGAGGATCACCCCACATTCGAAAGTTCCACAATTTTGACGAAAATGCTGTAAAATTGTACCGGAGATATACTACCGCACAATGTACGGGGATATACTATAGTACTAAACATGTTTATAGTAGTAACAAGTCTAATGGACTGACTGTGTGTGTGAAGTGGGAATGTGACTAAAAGTAGAACTTTTGAAGAATTGTAGCGAACCTTCTCTTTCCCAAAAGTATGGCCCGGATCTGAACACGTAACTACCCCAAAGATTAAAAAAGTCATGGATCTTTCCTGCTTTCGAAGATTTCCAAAATTTTTTCATCGGAATTGGCAACAGAACTATGACTGCTCCCCGTCCACCTTGTTATAACCGCACCGCTACTTCCTTTCTCGCGGAGACACGAATTTTCAGTTACTTAATTTACAGATAATGTAAATTCCCGAGGTTTGTATAATCTTGACCCCCCCCCCCTCCCTCAACTCCTTTTCACCCAAGAGTTTCTTTTCACTCAGAAACTTTCTAATGAAATTTCTGGAGGTGCTGATCTCTCATCGCATTCACACACTCTTCAGATCTGACTCATCTTTAGATCTAATTTCAAAAGAGCCTCCTGCTGTATTCAAGAGTTTAGCCTGTGCACGATCGAACAGACTCAGCCTGCCAGTTTTTCATCCTACGAAGTTTCTCAGATCCTCCGCCGTCTGGCTTCTTCTGGTCGCTAGGCGGTCCCTCCCCGCTCCAAGCCCGGGGTCAGCGATCGCCCCGTGGAAATCAAGAGTAGGCCTAGTAAGCCACCTCTTGTAGGGGAAAATTCATATTACTCCTCCAGTTAGAAGATTAGAAAGAAACCCTGCACATCGTATCCCGCCTACGGCGCTGGGTGGTAGCAAGAACGATGTCAGGGTACTCCGGGCGCCTTTCCGATTGGACAAAAACGACATGTCTGCCCGGACGACACGCCATGAAGACTGCCTCATGCTCTGCACCTACAACGCCAGGACAGTCTCCACAAACGCCGACCTCCACGCTCTTCTCGACTCTGCAGAGCACATCAACTACCACATCATCGCTCTGCAGGAAACGAAGTCCAGGAAGAAGGACGTGCGACAGATGAGTGATGGGACCTTCATCATTCGTGGTGAAAAGGTTCCATCACGAAACGTGGGAGGCATCGGCTTTGTCGTTCATCCATCTATCATCCATCTTGTCGATTCGCACGAGATCCTACCACCTCGACTAGGCATCCTGCGACTACGCCCTCCACGTCAGAAGACCATCAGCATCATCAACTGCTACTCGCCAACATCAGCAGCTGACGACTCAGAACTAGATGCTTTCTACGAAGACGTGGAGGAGGTCGTCCGCAACGAAAAGTCCTTCTACAAGTATGTTGTGGGCGACTTCAATGCGAAAATCGGGATGCCACTAGAAAAGGAATGATCGGGAAGTTTGGATATGAGCTCCGAAACGAAAACGGCAACCGTCTCGTTGGGCTCCTCTCCGCCGCACGACTCTTTCATGGAAACTCCATCTTCATGAAGAAAGAATATCGCCGGTGGACTTGAGAATCGCCCAACGGAACGACTCATGTTGAGATCGACCACTTTCTCACCAACCGAAGGTGGAGCTTACTCGATGTCTCTGTAGTTCCATCCTTCTGTAGTGGCTCCGATCACCGCCTCCTTCGAGCGAAGATACGACTCAGCCGAAGGCTGGAAGAGAAAGTCTGTCATTGTGCCGCGAGAAGGAAGGAAGTCGTTTATGACGGTAACAGGCTGCAAGAGCTCATATCAAGTTGTGACTGGCCCATCGAGGAGGACCCAACGTACGACTACGACCGGCTTCTGAAAGGATTGCGAGCCTGCGGAGAATGCGCCTCAGTGACTTCTGAGAAGAACTTGGACCGCATCTCGAAGACCACCAAGGAATTGCTCGAAAGAAGAAGATCATTGAGGCAGGATCCGAATGCAACTCATCTCGAGCGACTGATAGCCAACACCAGTTGCAGAACAGCTTTGCAAGAGGATCTCAGGAAGTACAGGCAAGCCAAGATACTGGAAGCAGCCGAAAGAAGACGAAGTCTCAAGAAGTGCCGAAGGGACCTCTGCGAATATCACGTACCGCTGGCTGCACTGCTGAACGAAGACGGGACTTCGACTTCTTTTCGATACAAGATGGATCGCGAAGAACTTCTACACCAACCTCTTCCGCTCATCAACACCCGTGCAGATGCCCGTTGTTCCCACTGGAGAAGTACCACCACGAATTCTACCTGCTGAAGTGCGTATCGCGATACAGACCATGAAGACGTCCACTGCTCCAGGACCAGATCATCTTTCCGTCGAACTTCTGCGAGCCGGAGGACACCGTCCACACGAGATTCTAGCGTCGCATTTGACATCTTACCTTCAGAAGGAGAAGATTCCCGACCAGTGGAGAACGTCAAGAACCGTCCTTCTCTTCAAGAAGGGTGAACGGGAGGATCTTCGGAACTATCGTCCAATATGCTTGCTGAGTGTGCTGTACAAGCTTTTCACGAAAATTATCCTCGCTCGCATATCAAGGACACTGGATGAAGCCCAACCCCAAGAACAAGCTGGATTTCGCAAAGGATTCAGCTGCATGGACCACATCCAGACCGTTTCGAGGGTCATAGAAGTCTGCCGGGAGTACCGACTGCCTCTCGTCCCAACCTTCGTCGACTACGAGAAAGCCTTCGACAGCGTCGAAACCAACGCCATCCTGTCAGCGCTAGTCGATCAAGGAGTGGACCCAGCCTACGTGAGGACACTAGCCAACTGCTACAAGGACTGTACAACAACGATACAGCTGTTCCATCGCCCCCTGACCATACCAATCGGGAAGGGGGTCCGACAAGGCGACACAGTCTCGCCGAAGCTGTTCACCGCGGCCTTGCAGTGGGTGATGAAGTCACTGGACTGGGACGAGAGAGGCATACGAGTTGATGGGAGATTCCTGTCCAACCTTCGTTTTGCGGACGACATCGTTCTCTTCTCGAGCACTATCACCGAAGCAGAGACGATGCTGAAGGAACTAAACGAAGTAGGGAAGAAGATTGGACTGCGAATAAATCAGAAGAAGACTCAGTTCACGAAGAACGCCCTTTGCGAAGATGCAGAAGTGGAATTGGAAGGCACCCCAATTATGGAGACGTCTTCCTACGTGTATCTCGGACGTTCGATGAACATGGAGAACAACTTGAGGGAAGAACTTAACAGGAGAAGAAGAGCAGCCTGGGCCGCCTTCGGGCCTCTGAAGGAAGCCACCGACCAACTGACGGACCCGGAGCTTCGTGCCCACCTGTTCGACTCAACCGTTCTCCCGGCGCTCTGTTAGGGATCGGCCATACTAATCCTGATGATTCCTGCGACACCTGCGATTCCTGCGACTCCCTGTGATTCCCCACAGTTCTATGATGCCCGCACAGTTTAGGCGCCGCTTAAACGAGCGCATTCTGCGTTTGTCATTTGGTGCCGCGTAAGGCAAAATCGAATGATTCAGTATTTTGCTGTGAACGTTTTTTTTCTAATTGTAGGCATATTCACACCTCGTAATCAATATGAAGATGTTTTAGAGGTGTTAACAAACGATACACTTGTTTCAGATCTTGCGTTTCACCGAAAACAAGTGTTGCCTTTACTACATTTACAACTTATGTCGCCATCGTGTATGCAATGAATGTTGTTGAATGCTCAGCACCAGGTATGCTGTCCAAATTTTGTGAATGCTGTGTTTTTTGTTTTCTCCGTCGCAAGGAACTCTGTGGGAATGCATCTTGTTCTCATAGCGAAATGATGCAGCGTTGTGTTGACGGAACTCTTTTCATAACTTTCCCGATTCCGCTATCTTTCATTTGCCATCGTGTGTAGAAAACGCTTCTCATGCTTTTATCTACTTTTTATCTGTATAAACATGGAGGTGGGCTGGTATCCCAGTTAGCTCTTCTATTTTCAGCCGAGTAGCGAAGAACAACCGTGCGCAGAAGAGCATAATTGGAAGCGATGTTTGCTCAATGCCCAGGTAAGCTAGTCTTAAATTAATTGCGCATGTTCTTTGTGTTTTGAGAGTATATGATTGAAATTAAGTTCAAAGCAAATATCTTTCTCCCGTCACCAAACTTTCATTTGCTCATGCTTGGCGGACTTACTGAGATCCAACGATGCTATTTTCTAGATCCACCGAGAACACTAGAAACATTAGGTCACTTCATTTTCAAGTTAAGGATGACTGAATTGTTGTGCAAAGCATCTGTTCTTACACCTGCTGTAGTGTGGCTAGTACTCAAAATGAAAGATTTAATATTTAGGGAATCGCCTCATTATTCTCACTTGCTTCAGACAAATAGCTGGCTGTATCACTTCATGGAATAGTGTGCTGGTATGTTACTTGCTTTTTTATTCTTGTGACGTTTCTTGGATATATTTCCTACTTGATACTCATAAGCAAGCCGTGTAGTATTCACTTATAGGTTCGTATTAGAAAGACGGAGTGGGTTTATGTTCAAGGACGGAGAAATCTGTGGTCGCATAACAAGCATCTTAGCATGGGACACATCCAAAATGATTCTCTACTTATGACAGTGTAAGTTTGTACTGCAATCTACTATCTTATCATTTATCAACGCGAGTTCCTTTAGCACTGAACATTTTTGCTGTCAACTATCTGACTGCCCGAAGTATCGAGGGGAAGTCGCCGTAACTCGTGGTGGTTCTTTGCCACAGCAGACCTTTTGCTTGATAATCAAACCCCGTTTCTTCAACAGTGATTTTTGGATTGATTGAATAAAGATAACAATGTGATGAATGATGTAGATATTCTCATGGGCATTACTTTTGTTCAGAATAGTCAGAAGAGTTTGCGATGATGAAATTCTAAATAAAGATTTTGCTACTTTTTTTGTGTGTATCATGTGAGGAAACATTTTTTTTCGCCTTTGCTAACATTACACCTCGCCTTGCTTCAACAGTGTTAGTTCTTCGGCCATAAATGGAAGGAATACAATTACACCTTTGACTAACCTAGGATCTTTTTCATCAGAGAACCTGTCTTTTTGTCTGCGCCATCTCTTCTAGGGTTTTAGCAGACTCCTTTTCAGCTGTTACGAAATTTGGATAGATAATTTGCTCCCAGTGTATTTGAGCTTTATTTCGGAGAATACCTTGATGTCGGGGGAGGGGGCGAACTGCAGTGACATGTGCATGCATCGCGTTCGTAACTTTGTAGTGTAGCGTAGTCATCCTTTAATTACATTGTATGTTGCAGAATGAGCTACGAATCATTATCGAATCTTTTGGGAAGTTTGGAGTTCTTGTACGCTATGAGCGAGCCTACTGCAGGCCAGATATCTCCGCGGCAGAGGCGGCAGTATGTGCGGCAAGAGCACATTCGATTCATTGAAACTCGCTTCCGCATTTTTGACGAATACCTGGTTACGAGGAGGCCTGAGGGTTTTCTCGAATTCATCAAGCTCTTGCCTGATGAATTTGAGGACCTCTACGAAAGAATAGGAAGTGGGTTAGAGCATCCTCGTACTCATCTTGGTCCAGTAACCGGCCGTCACAGACTGATGATCTACCTCAGGTGACTTGGGGAACTGATAACGTGAACTAAACCGCTAATAACATGCATTGTCCCTTCAGATTTGTAACGCAGAGGAGGACTTTCACCGCCTATGCTTTGGACATAGGAATGGGGAAAACAACAGTATCGAATGTGGTAGAGGAAGTGGCAGAAGCCATCATAAGGGGTATAAGCAGAACGCTAGCTATATACATTACCACCAATCGTGATTCAGTTCTGCATAATGTTGCTTTTCCACCTCTAACACGTGCGAGACTAGAGGAAGTAGCCAGAAAGACACAGGCACGGTTTGACTACCCCAGGGCGGTGGGGTTCATGGACGGCAAGCACATAAATATCCAGGTTCTCAGTGCTTATGCAAGATGTATACAACGACAGTGTGTGTTTAGAAGCCGGCCCGCTCTGGAAGTATGTACTGGAACTACAAACATTACCACTCGATCATTCTCCTGGCAATATGCGATTGTGATTATCGCTTTATGGCGTACGACGTTGGAGCTCCTGGTCGCCGTGGTGATGCTGGCGTGTTTCGGAATTCCGCCATCAAGGTTTGGTTCGCTAATGAGAAAATACGGAGGTTTGATTCGGGAATTCAGAGATGGCTGGAACGTCACGATGACGTTTTTCCTCCCACGAGAGGGCTTGGAAGAGTGGGCCCTGTCCAATATCATTTCCTGGTGGACGGCGGCTTCGCTCAAGGGCCGCGATTTATCCGACCGTATAGAGAGCCCGAAACGACTACAGGAGATAGAAGGCGATTCAACCGACAATTAAGCGGGTAACTTATCACCTATCCGACATGACGATGTGGAGGAATAGTATTTAGAGCTCGGCATATGATAGAATCCACCTTTGGTTTGCTGGCCCAGCGTTTCCAAATTTTGATGACGCGGATGACCTTGACTCCAGAGCGAGCAAAGCGGCTGGTTGTTTCCCTCATGGTTAGCCCAGTTGACTATTGAACCGATTCCTGACATTGAGTTATTGAGCAATGGCTATAGATCCTTCACAACATGCTTCCCCGAAGACAGGACAGCTTGGCAGAAGTGGAGAGATTTAGACCTGCACAAAACGCGTACCATCCACTGAGGAACACGGATCTCCTATAAACAGGCGGTGCTGCGAGAGATCTTATAACACAATACTACGTTGATTTATACGGTCATGAAAGATGAGACTTGGGTATTGTCTTAACCCTGGGAGAAAACCTTACTTCCACCTTAGCTGTCTTTTATATTGCCGCTTTTCCCCATCATCAGTAAGCGTTTTCGAGTATATCTTGTAAGAAGCCGAACTTCGGTCTGTAAATACATCTGCGTGCCTACAGTGTTTTCGTTCCTAAATAGTTCTCAACAGATACTCACGTGCCATTTATACGAAGTGATGTGTATAATCACGATAAACTTTTACTTCTTCTTGAAATCCAAAACCGTACAAAAGCTTTGAAAAAATGTGAACCGTATCGTACCAACCGTATCGTATCAACCGTACTTCACCGAGATCCAAGGACTAAGAATCTTACTAAAGAGTCTATCGAATGCTTCTCAAAGTGTGGAACTGCCAATGGTACTGGTAACAAAAAAATGAAAAGTAAACAAAGAAACTACTGGTAACAAAATAAATGAAAAGTAAACAAAGAAAATGCACTCAAAATCATTCTTCGGGAGATGGTTCTCTTACATTGTCTTCGTAGTGCTTGACTACTTGGATTGGGAGACTGCTCTTAGATCGATATGCCTCTTCCACGCACTGGCGAAATTCCTCCGGTGTAGTGACATGTCTAACTTCTGTCACCAGAGACGTTACTATGACATGTATCTTCTCTTGCGCTTTTACTTCGCCCATATCTCTCAGATTTTGAGCCACGAAAATACCTGAAAACACCGAATAGCTCGATCAGTTGTGCCTGAAAACTCACCAAACGTATCGTATTTGTCATTCTTTCTGACCGCCTCCACCCTTTCTTTAACTGTGTTTATCGCATCGCGCAGAGCACCTCTATCTGAAACCGAGCATAGTGTTGAAGAATGAGTGGAGAAGTATCTTACCTTCATCACACATGTCAACCATTCGGGATCTTTTCGGGGTGTGGGTCTTTCTCTTTTCAGAAGGCTGTCCAAGTAGCGGTATCTCGATTTCTTCAACGGGCCTCTTTCGGTTCGTTGATTCGTATTGAGAACTAGTCGATGGAAAATCTAAAACAGTTCCAATGTATTGTGTAAGAAGAGCAGCAGAAGAGCTCTACCGTTTTCGTCGTTCACGTGCTCCTCATCGCTCAGATTTAAATTCGAAACTCGCGGCCTGAAATACAGCAAACTTCGTCTTCAGAATCAGTGGCGTTAGAGAGACGTACGCGTCCACTTCAGCTTGATCCAAAAATGTCAGATATCTGAAAATTCCTGTGCAGGTGGCTGCTTGTCCTGATTTTCCTTTACGGCACTTCATGTAGCCACTGCGCATGGCCTTCCATTTCGCTTTCACATCATCTACTATAACGAATCTTGATAAAGCTGAAGAAAAAAGTATTAATCAACTTACAATCAGCCGCTATACCACGTTCAAGCAACAAATCGACAATTTTATTCCATGTGGCTGCGCGTACGTCCTTATCGTGATAGTCATCATGCGATGGCAACCATAGGTTCGGATGCTTTTCCACCAAAATTGCAATGTGTTCCCTAATGTTCATCCTGCCTGCAAAACAGAACCTTGAGATAAGGAATCACTTAAAGTTGTAATGCAAATCACGACATAAAGTTGTAAATGTAGAGAGAGCTAACATCGCGACTCAAAGTTGTAATGCAAATCACGACATAAAGTTGTAAATGTAGAGAGAGCTAACATCGCGACTCAAAGTTGTAATGCAAATCACGACATGAAGTTGTAAATGTAGAGAGAGCTAACATCACGACTTAGAGTTGTAATGCAAATCACGACATGAAGTTGTATGTAGAGAGAGCTAACATCACGACTCAATGTTGTAATGCAAATCACGACATAAAGTTGTAAATGTAGAGAGAGCAAACATCACGACTCAAATTGTTATGCAAATCACGACGTGTAAATGTAGTAAAGGCAACACTTGTTTTCGGTGAAACGCAAGATCTGAAACAAGTGTATCGTTCGTTAACACCTCTAAAACATCTTCATATTGATTACGAGGTGTGAATATGCCTACAATTAGAAAAAAAACGTTCACAGCAAAATACTGAATCATTCGATTTTGCCTTACGCGGCACCAAATGACAAACGCAGAATGCGCTCGTTTAAGCGGCGCCTAAACTGTGCGGGCATCATAGAACTGTGGGGAATCACAGGGAGTCGCAGGAATCGCAGGTGTCGCAGGAATCATCAGGATTAGTATGGCCGATCCCTTACGCAGCTGAGACTTGGGCCGACACTGTAGCCACGTCGAAAGCTTTACGGACCACCCACAGAGCGCTCGAGCGCAGTCTTCTGAAGATGACCCGACGCAAGCAACATCTAGTCGGACTTCGCAGCACGGATATGAGAAGAATATCCTGTCTTCGTGAACCAGCGGAATACGTCGCGAAAGCCAAACACCGATGGGCCGGTCACATAATGAGAAGAACAGACGACAGATGGACACTAAGAACATCTGAGTGGATTCCTCGCGAAGCCAAACGTCCTCGAGGAAGACCACCGACGAGATGGGCAAACGTGTTCGTGGAACGGATGGACCAGCTGAGAAATCAGCTGGATACGACTTTCGCCCCTGGAACTCGTGGACGCAGCCACCGACGACGGCCAAGAAGATCGTGGATGTCTGAAGCGAGGGACAGGGAAAACTGGCGACTTCTGTACTGGGGCCCGCACGTCACGTGAGGACGGGCCATCTAAGTAAGTAAGTAAGTAAGAAGTTTCTCAGATGCTCTCAAACTTTCACAAGTGAAAAATTTTTGTGATTGAAGCCCCCGTCTTAAACCCGACAAAGCATTTCCAGCCATGTGCATTCTTCCCATATGGGGCCCTGTTTCCCACATTGAATGAGTGCATCTTGTCTGCATCTTGCATCTGTCTGCATCTTTTTGGCAGTCACTGTACATTACGTTTGAGATCTGAAGAAATTCCGCTATCATTCAATTGAATCGTTTTCAAGCTCAACAACTGGCAACTGGTTTTTAGAAAGGTTGACTTTGATTCCCCTATAGTTAGCTCACTTTAGCACTTGATGTACTGATTGTCCTAATTTTTCATGAATCTGTGCCCTAATTGGTGTCATATTTGACACACATCTTGATGGATCTGTTTTTAGTACATTAGGAAGCTTCATCGTATAGTTGTGAGCAAAAGCGGGGAAAGAGAGCTACCTTGTGGTACACATGAAGGACAAATCATTTCTCTGGATCTTTGACTTTAGCAGGTAACTTCAAAAGTCCGAATCAAAAAATAGGATTTGAACCAGTCAAAATGGTTTCACCTAACACCTATGCTATAATGCTTGTTGAGGAGCCCATGGTGATTTAGGAGACAAAAGCTTTGCTAGAATCCAAGTAAATGACTGCAATGTATAAGGTTGGAAACTAAGTTTTGCAACTGATCTCATTTCCCTCTCACTCAACATGGCGCACTCAAATTTTGCCACTGCGTTGGTTATTACGTAAGCTATAAGCGCAGCTGCTGTCCTACCAAATTCTGACGTCGCAGTGAGGGTTACGGTAGGTGCATGGTATCCAGGGGAAATATTCAAAGTTTGACGGATTTGGCTGAAACTTGGCATAGGGGTGTTATCCGACATGCTGATCACGAAAATGATAGTGAAATTGCATGATAAGGGCTTTTTTGTAGGATTACTGTAGGTGTACGATATGGGGTCTTACCCTAAACAAGGAAGAAGGCGTTGACTTAACAAATGACTGTGATATTCGCGTTTGGCAGGTCAAATAACCTTACTATGAAGTCTCGGCGCGATTTGGGCTTCGGACTCATTAGTCATCGACGGTTGTCCCCAGCAGCTGCGTACATCGACTTTTTCGACATTATGAGGACGCCAAATCTCGACATGCCCCTAAATTTTGTTTCTTTCTTACTAGGCCAAAGGAGTCAACCTCTAGCAATAATTTGTAGACGAATCCGGATTACTGCGCATGGTCTAGGCTGCCAAAGGCTTCATTTTATCTTGAAACCCCAAAAATTCTCAAATTTCACTAGTTTTCGAAAAACGCCTGAAACTTTTCTATTTCGTGTCAAAAATTTAGACAATTTTGTAGCCAGGGCCCGGCACAAATCGTCTAGAAGCAGGCTGAACTTCGTTTTTAGAGCAAAAAGCAAAGGAGATATCGTTTTTGACGATTCGGGGCCCAGCACCAAGAATAAGCGCCATTTAGTCGAATACAAGCTTTTCAGACAGGTTATCACACGATTGACACGCTCTATCGTGTATGGCGAAAAGTGCGCGCAATTTGAAAGCAAGGCTTAAATAAACGAATTGCTTGTTTACAGTGCACACAGAGTCATATGACACCAAAATTGTACTGTATACATTAAAAATTATTTGCAAAAGAATTATGTAAAAAGGTTTGAAAACTTATGTGAAGTAATACGTTTTCCAAAATTAGATCTTCTCCAGGGCCCGGCGGGGGTGGCGCTTTCACAAGCTGGATATCGTTTTTGGCCCGAAAAAGCAAGGGGGAAATCGTTTTTTGGGGTCCGGGGCGGAGCCCCGGAAAAAAATTGGTAGTTCATGCTCGCTGCTTATCTTAACATGTTATGTCCCTCAACAGGCAAACACTGGAGTTCGCGCGTGTAAAACCGCGCCGTCGCTAACTGCCGCACGCTCAACGTCGCTCAAACAATGCTGTTTGTAACGCATAAATGACGAGTTCTCAATGTATGCGTAACGATATGGCACCAAATTTTGTAAGCGAACGGAGAGAGGCTAATGGAAACAAAGTATGAAAAATCATGAAAAACTTATGTGAACGGAACGAGTAATAAGCATTTTTTTTTGAAAATTTTGTAAAATTGGTAAATGAAGATGCGCATTCAATTGGCTCGTTTGCAACGCGCAGATGACGGTATGCTACGAGACTTGGTACATACGTGGACACAAGTTTGTAAGAGATTAATTAGGAGTTTCATTGAAAAATTATGTGACTGAAGGTTGTAGCAAGGTTTTTTCTGAAAATTTCCCACTATCAAGAAAATGGAAAAATGGCTCGTTTGCAATGCAGAGGTGACGAAATTGCGCGGGATTTGGTGTGTATATGCGCAGTAGGACTAAGTAACAAAGTATGAAAAATTATGAGAAACTTATGTGAATTTAAAAAATGGTAAGTGTTTTTCGAAATTAGGTGGCTCCCGCGCCACCTGGGAGCCACCTGGGGTGGCTCCCTGCTTTCCTTCACATAATTTCCCGGATTTCTTTACATAAATGTGGCTTAGGTCGAGAGTATTACTACATGTTCAAATCCGCTTCCAAAACCACCAAGGCACCGCTTCGATACAGCCCCAAACAGGGTTCACAGCGTTATGGTCGGCCTCGGAAAGCGCGCTCCAATCGCAATCTGTGCACCTTGCACAGACGACGCGGAAACTTTGAGAAATTGGCTTTTTGCTAGATTACTGATCGCTGATTGAAGCAATCTTCTCAGTCTTCAACCGATTGCTTCTTCGATAAGCCCTACAAGGGCTCAGAAGGCTCAGCGATCATATTTGATTGTAATGTTCTATGCAAAAAAGTTGTTTTTGTAACGTATTTTTTCAATTTTCGCAATATGGTCAATTTTTCCGTATTTTCGCTCTTTTGGGTCGTTATTAATAAGTCGTTAGTAAGTGTAATTTTTGGCCATCCTCTCAAACGATGACCCGGGCCGGACCAGGAAAGCCAGGTAGTACTACTATAATAAGCGCTGAGGCCGCCCATCTTATTATTTGTGTATATCTGTTTGTCAGGGACTTACGGGGGCCAAAAATAGGGTCAAAGGGGAAGTCGTAAGAAATTTTGGCTTCAAAGGGGATATCGTTTTCAAAATTCTGAAATGCCACCTCCTGCCGGTCCCTGATCTTCTCCAGACGGCCACCAGACGATCCGAGATCGTCTGGAGCATATATTTCTGTCACTTCACATAAGTTTAAAATTTTTTATCATGGACGGATTCCCCGTTCAAAAATCTACCCCTGAGCATGAAAACGTTTTCATATCATTGCCTTTCCTTTATTTTTGCCTTCATTTTCTCATATATCGCTTTGTAAAATATCGCGCTCCAATCCCAAACTCTTGTGCATGCGTAATACTCAGCTCCATTTTGGATTTTCACTCTTTTCTTAGTTTTATCTTTCAGACTAGTAATCTCTTTCTTGTTTTCATCTTCTCCTATGCAAATAGGTCAAAGGGGACTTCGTAAAACTTCCGAAAGTCATAGGAGACTTCGTTTTCAGAAACCCTAGAAACCGACTCGTGCCGGGCCCTGCTTGTAGCTCACATTGCCTTCTACACAATGCCAAAGTTTGAGTGCGCCATATCCAAAGAGAGTGAAGTTATGAAACCAGTTGCAAAACTTAGTTTCCAGCCTAATATTTTCCATTACTAAGAGCGTCAATCATTTTTGCAACATTTCAACACTTGAGTGCAGATAGAGGAGCCGGTAACAAAACCGCGCTGCTCCCCAGAAGATGTTTTTTCGATACACCATTTTAGCATTTTTTGGCTAATATCTTTTTCGTGATTTTGCATGACGTGGTAAGAAAACTGATTGGCCTAAATTCAGAAACTTTGATTGCATTGGTGCATTTCGGTACCGGAACAACCATAGCCTTCTTCCAGATTCTAGGAATATTTCCAACATATCGATCAAGTCAGTCAGCCCCGCTAGATTACTAACACATTTTTTGAATAAAAAAATGCTGAAATGCCTCCAGATGTAAGGAACAGGAAGCTTGTTGCTTTGAGAAGTTTGTATGATTCAGGAGAATGATGGAAGGTAAAATTCCTCGGCTATAAAGTCAAGCTGAGGCCTTTGAGAAAAAGAGCTGCTGTAGGCATTCGATTAGCTGGATAGTGCATTAACTTTTTCTACAGCGAAAAATAAAACTTGTTCAGCTTCGTCCAGCATATTGGCGATAGCTTATCAAATTGAATTATTCGAGTATGCTGTCTTTTTCTGCTACTTTACTTTGTTCATAGCTCAAAACGGCGCAGGCTAATGTTAAAATTTTGACCTTTTCTGTACTGTGTATTTTCCAAAGGTTGGGGTTGGAAAAAAGCCGTCTTTTTATATTGAATATATTTTGCATGTGGAAGGGTATTCAATTTTAGAAGTGTGCTGCTTTTTTACGGGACGTGGATTTTTACAATATTATACAAAATGGTATTGAATCGCATGTAAACATCCATGTTAGCGTGGTTATCGAACTGAAGCCAATCAATAAAATCGAATGCTCAACAAAACCCAGAGGAGGTAGAGTCAAAATTGATGTTAATTATTTGATGAGCTGGCAACAATAAACAATGTTGAGTTATGATGGGTGGAGCAGTCAACCACTTGATTGAATCAAGCGGACATCAATAACCATTTGTTTTTATCAGAAATATGCTTATAAGGATAGCTTTTTAAGTCGAAGTGACCTTTCCAAATGAGATCTACATTCCTTTATAAGGCACCGAACGCTGATTTATAATTTGTTTTTGTTATCTGCCATCCCTGGACTCCCGAGTTATAGGCGTTTTTTGAGCGAAAATTGAACACAGATTTAGGTAAAGCAAACAGATCTCACGGTCTTTACAGCGCTCAAATGGATCAAAATTGCGTATGGCTGTATTAAACAGAAGGTATTTACTGAAAAAAATTGCTTCAATAATTGTCAATTGACGTTTGAGCAAGTTAGAACAATTTGGTTCTCTATGCCGTCACAATTTTCTTAACGGAATAAACGCTTATGTCTCGGACCCCGGAGGCGCTTGGCAGATAAGAAAGACAGACGTGGAATCACTGTCTATCTGCAAGGATATGGACGTCATATGAAAAGGCTTTTTTCGGCTAAAAAGACTTTCCTTGTTAGCATTGTTGGGTTATATAATCAGTACAACTTTGAGATGTTTTTGTCAGCTCTAAAAGAAAAAAAATTGACTTTGAAGAGGTTGGCGGCCGGGCATCAGGAATTCATACAAAAAGCTGCAAAATACGGCCTACACAACTTCTCACTCCTGTTCAACAATGTGCATGGTAAAGAACAGAAAGAATACTTAGGGAAGATAAACTATGAAATGTTCGAGAATTGAACTTCTAATCGTTTATGATTAGAAAATGATTAAACACCATCTGCAAACAAATGAGTTTTTACCGCCTAAAATATTGATTTCGAAACTTTCGGGTGCAGCCTAGGACGGATCGAAAAATAGAATTATAGCAATTTCTCCTTGAAGCCTTTACAAATCGAAAAGAAACAACATCTTTCAAAAAAGGAGAAGAAGCTGCATCGAATGACATCCTAACAGTTTGCCGTCTGATGTTCTACGAGGTTTGGGACAAAGACAAATATCAAATTTGGTAGCATCAAAATAATGACCTTAGAAAATTTGAAAAGTTAGCCGTTTGCCAGAAAAATGTATCACGCCGCGTTGCTTATTCTATCTAACTGTTATTGAGGCATTGCAGAAGTCCAGAACGAAAATGTGAAAAATAGCAAAAGTCAGGGTGGATAAAAACCTTGAAGATTCCGAGGATTTTTCAAGCAAACGTCAAAGAAATCCGATCAAAGAATTACTGCTGGAAAGAAAGAAATTCTGCATAGATTAGTTCTTGGAGGGCTTGTCTACTTTTATTCTGCATGATTTGAAATAGGTCTAAGAGATAGCACGAACTTTTGGACCCACCAGATTAGGACGGCGCGAAAGTTCTTTCCTTTTTTTTCGAACCTACCCCCAAATTCCATAGAGTAAAGATGAACAAATAACTTAAGCATCATTCAATTGCAGATTTTCTCCTTCTTCTACCTCCTATGTCCGCGATGCGGTTTCGATGAATGCGGAAGCTTACGCTTTATAATGAACATGCTTGACTTCCGCTGGATTCCAAAATTTTGCTTTGAGTTTTTTGAAGGTGCTTTGCTTTGATAACCATTTGATGGGACAAATACTTACACAAACTGATGCGACTTTTTGTGTTTCACCAGCTTAATGTTGAATTTTGCTAAAGAATTGTCTAGAAGTCTTAGATTTCGGAAATATTGCTTAACACATAAATGCATCAAACAATGCTGAATCTTCACAATATTGAGGTATTAATTATTTGATTATTACTATAGCATCATATGAAATTGATAGGCGGTTATATCTTTAAAATATGCTAATTTCGAAATTTAGAGCTTTACAGTGCACGTAAAACTCAGTAATACGGGCCACTTTGTCTGCAAAAGTTGCACTTGTAAAACGTATCGTTTATTCGTTGACCGTAACGACTGCTGACCGCGCGGCGACCGCTGCGCGTGCATGATGTTTTCGTAGAAAAGATGAATAGAAAGAAAACAGAGGATTCTTCTCATCTTTATAATGTAGAAAAGAAACAAAGAATTCTTCTCATCTTAAGCCACGGTCCAACTTGTCACTTTTTCGCAAGTTTAGAAGGCACGCGTCGCAGTCGCCACGCGGTCGGCAGTCCGTACGGTCAACGAATGAACGATAGCTAAAAAGCGGAGAAAAAACGCATTGTATAACACGTGAACTAACTACCATTTTGTGTCTTGAGAGGTTAAAATAAGCCGAACTCGAATCTTGGTCGCTCCAGAAAGCACTTTTATAATTTCATGGAAACATAACAAAAAATACAAAAAGTTGCAATAGCTTGCAAAAGGTTCGCCTTATCAACAGGCTGTAAAGCATCTTCAGATTTTAGATGAACGAGCGAAAGACATGGTAAAAATAAAGGGTCATAAGCATCGGAGATTTTTTCAGCAGTCGTCAAAAATGTCGCGCCCGAACATTAATGAGGAAGAAATTTTGCATAGGATAACGTTTGAGCTACTTGTTCATCTTCACCTCATGGGATTTAAGAACAAGTCCAAGAAACGAAAAGCACTTTTGCACCAACCTAATGATCATAATTCTCAACAAAAGGCAATTTTGCCTCTGTTCAGGGACATCAATCATTTCCGGAAGTGGTGTGCATACGATTGAAGTAATGCGCGCAGGCGTGAAGCTACCAAAACATGCTAAAGAATGTGTATCATTTTACAATTTGTTGGAAAAAGCTGTAGCAGCAAACACGGGACACAGGCCCAGACCCAAAAAAATCTTTCTTTGATTGGGGCGTACGCTTATCCTGATTATTCAGTGGTTACTATAGAAGCGGACGGGTGGTATGGATAAGTTTATTTTCGATGTCTGTCTTATTTAGTCTTGTTATGTTCAGAAATATAGTGTACTAGCTGGCTTACCCGGCTCCGCCGTATGTTCCAAATAGAAAATTCCATTTCTTAACCGATCCGGACCAAACTTGGCACACATACACTTCGGGCCCCGGCGGGTGTCACAGTCCACTTTTCGTTATCGATCGATGTCGATTTTATCAATTTTTTGCAAAATTTGAGCTAGGGGGCTGGGATTTGGCACAGGGGGATGATCGAGCATGCTGATCACCCCCGTGGGGGTGATCAGCATGCTCGATTACACCCCTCTGCCAAATTTCAGCCCCTTAGCTCAAATTTTGCAAAAAAATCGATAAAATCGATAAAAGTAATGCACGATTTTAAAACTAATATTGTATTCGGAATCTCCATGCTCACTTACCCCCCTGTGCCAACTCCCAGCCCCGTAGCTCAAATTTTGCAAAAAAATCGATAAAATCGATATCGATCGATACGAAAAGTAGCCTATGACACCCGCCGGGGCCCGAAGTGTATGTGTGCCAAGTTTGGTCCCGATCGGTTCAGAAATGGAATTTTCTATTCGGAACATACGTACAGACATACAGACATACAGACAGATATACAGACAGACAAACAGACATTCAGCTTTATATATAAGATTGTCACTACTTTGACGCATATTAGAATAAAATAAACTCTCCCGTTGAGTCGATGGTCTTTCCGGAATTCGCTGTCCACTGCTGTAGACATCCTAAACACTTTATATGTCTATAACAGAAGAAAAAGAGGAGGAAGTAACGTTCTTGGTGCCGGTTCTTGATAGAACGATAACAAGTTAGCGAAAAACGTTCACTGTTCCTATGTCGAAATATACATATTTAGAACCAAAATACGACCTGTCAGTGTGTCTTGCACCAATGTATGGTAATGAGAGCAAATGGTTGATGTTGACAGAAGTAATTGAACATTATAAGTTGCAAGGTGTTCAGCATTTGTATGTATATGTCAAGGATATTGACGATTATTCTCATTTAGTAAGACGACAATGCTTTTCGTTCAAAACCAATGTAAGAGTATTTAGGTTCTAGATGACTACGAAAAAAGTGGCGAAATTGAGGTGGTGTATTTAGAAGAGAACAAGACAGACTTGATTCGGAATGGCATGTTGTTGGGGTGCAGGTGAGTATGCAATTTCTGTCGATTTTCCTTCTTTTGGATTTGAAACTTTTAAAAACACCGTCCACCCAAAGTGAGGGTTGATGAGATTTCGGTGGCATACTAGTGTGGGCCCCCACACTAGGCAAACCCCAAAGTAGCACCGCAAAATACTCCCTCCGAAGCGAGAAATCCGCTCCGGAAGGGACGTAAGCGGAGGTGGTCACTCCGCCCACTTTGCAGGCGCACCGTTGGGGATACTACACGCACAGCGCAGTACGCTGCCTCGTCGTAGGCGACTAATCGGAGTCTTTCTAGTGGTATTTCGTGTATTAGTATTCTTAACCGTTCGTTTTTTATTCAGTCATGACCAAATTTACGACAAAGTTGTTTTTGTGCGATTACAACTATCATCAGCATCCAGCATAGCTGTTTCTTGATGTGAACATGATCTTTCTTTATAGGCGACGCTTGTGCTCAATGAAACAAGATGAACATGCGAAGAGAACGTGAGTTTTTTTTGTTGCAATGTACATCAAATTCAAAAACTATTTGTAGTCAAAATGATCGCGTTGTCGTCGTTGCTACATGACTAATGGATCATTGCAATAAACTGTCACGTATTTCTGTGCAGCTGACTTGCTATTGCTGTGCGTTGATCTTGACGTGTTATTGAATTATTTGATGAACTTGTTTTGCAGACAAGTGAATCCCCATCAGCTTGGCCCACCCGACAAAAAGTGCAGGCATATAATGATGACTTTCATCGTATAACTATTGACCGTGTGTTTGTTACCGTGATGTGTACGTTGTGCAAAGAATCTTTGACTTCATTTATAATTTATTCAGAGGAATGGCTTGAATGAAGGAACATCAGTTTGATTCTGTATACTGTTGAACGATAGTTGTACTGAGCTATATGAGAGGCTTAGCAGTAGTACTGAAACGGCTTCAAGAAAGACATTATCGACTTAGTTCCCGATGCTATGCCATATCTTTTAGCTCTACATTTCCTAATACTCCCAATCGATTGCACAATTGCCCGTGACTAGTTTGCAAATGACGCCCTGCGTATATCAGCGCGCCTGCAAAGTGGGCGGAGTGACCACCTCCGGTTACGTCCCTTCCGGAGCGGATTTCTCGCTTCGAAGCATAGGTGCGATAGGGGGAGCCGGGATCTCCCCAGGTGAAGGGGGTCTCGGCTGTTCCCGACCTTCCAGGGTGAAGGGGGTATGTGAGTCTGGGGGGGGGGAGAGGAAGAGAGAAAAGGTAAGAAAGTGTGGTATGAAAAGCTCTAATTTGTACCTTATTTAGGCACAAATTGAAAAAAATTTGAAAATTTTCAAAAGAAATTTAAAAATTTTAAAAAAATTTATTATGAAGATCTGTGCTCCTGTTTCACTGCATCAACAAAAAAAAGCAATAAGGTTTATCCCAAAAGATGTACAAGTTAGGAACAACTTCATTTCCTGCGCATCATCATCAACAATATCACTATCGCTAACGTCAGAGACAACAAATTCGGTGCCTGAAAAATCTTCTTCTTCCTCCAAAAGGTCATTGGAGTGGAAGTAGAATTGAGTGCAAAGCGTTCTAAGTCAAAGATGGATTTGAAACTTTCTTCTTCTTCTAAGCACTTTTGTGATTTTTTTCCTGGCCCTCTGGTAGCATCAGGAAGTCAGCAGGTAGGTGACCAGTTTCTTCATACCATCTTTTAGGATATTTCAAAAAGTCATACGGTAACAGCCTGTCTGGACCACTTATACCAATCCTTTGAATGAAGTTTTTAGATAACAATGTGTTTAGTAGAAGGTTGACAAATCTTAAGTAATTGCTTAGATGCTCTATCGTCGTACGACTTCTGCGTTGTGTTCTGATAACAGAGTAGATAGAAAATTTCTTTCTTCACCTCTGCCGTGCTAGTCGGAATGGAAATTAGCTTTGCTAGTAAGTCCATCAGATTTTTGCGGTAAGTAATGGGAAAAGAGCCAGATCGTATATGCTTTCGCAACACGAGAAGGAAATAGTGCATACTTTTTTGGGCCTTTTCGAACTCTGGCTTCACCTCCTCTGGCATACTTCCTGTTAACTGAAGAGAAAGCTGCTCAACTTCTTCTTCAACAGCATCTGCGGAATAGCCGAAAAAAGTAGATACTATGCTGCGCGTTGGTTTTTTTCAATATCATAGGTCATAATGTCACAAGGCGAATAACTTCCAAAAGCATAAAGCACAGAGTTGGGTTCGCACTCCAGCCGGGATCTAAGTGCAGTAACTATGCTTTGTACTAACACCTTCCTTTTGTTCATATCCATGTTTGTGAATTTAGCAGCCTTGAATTCTTCAGCAACCTGAAGATCAGCAATGGACTTCCTGGACATTTCCTCATTGAAACTAGACAATCTGCTTGGATTCCTTATGCAGGAAATCAGAGAGTTTCGCTCAATTGTCAACTCTGTGTCAATGTCGACAACATTTTCGTCGGCGTAAAATTCTCCTTCTGCCTCGCTATTGAACTGGAACACATGCGAGTCATCTGCGATTTTGTAAAGTATTCTGCCTGCCGTTTCCTCTTTAAACTGCCAACCTTTCCATAACATTGAGGGATAATTTAATAACATGCTATATTTTCTGAATGTCTAAAAGTTTTTGATTCATTGAACCCAACCACCTTCTCTACAAATTAGGTAAGGTGAGTCTAGAGCGTTTTCATGAAAGTGACCTTCTTCAGCACTAGGTTTACAGAGTATAGATTCCAGAAATGGGCAGGTTTTTGTGTGAAGGTGTGGAAGTTTACCAATCTCCCATAGTTTTTTGAGTGTGCGCTAATAATGATGGCATAACTGTCAATCAAAAGCGCATTTTTTACCAAAAAAACATAAACATACAACAACGTTCGCTCACGTTCCCGTTAGTGCTAATAGCGATGTCAATCCACAGCACATTTTTTACTATTAACTTGCTCCACCTCGCTCTTATTAGGTCGTCCAGAAAGTTTTTGCGCATGAATTTCAAAATTCATAACTTCTGATTTTTCCAACCGATTTGACTGCTTTCACTTTTATGTGAAAGGGTAAGTCATGCTCTTTATAATGACTTCTCAGCTGCTTAGTAATGGTCATCTGTTGCATAGATAGGAGCGATAGAAGAAAAATGGTAAAAATTTTAATTTTCTGTGTAGGGTCATAAAAAATCGGAGAATTGCAACAAAAATCGGAGCACTCAGTACTGTAGGATCTTTCACCAGCTCTTTCTAACAGTGCAAAGTTTGCGCCGATTGAGCGTGAAAAGTTATGATTTCCCTGAAAAATGCCAAAATAAATCAAATTCGCCTTTTTGTATTGCTTGCTCGGAAATCATAACTTTTCATAGAGACGCTCAATCGGAGCAAACTTTGCACTGTTAGAAAGAGCTGGTGAAAGAGCCTACAATACCGACTGCTCCGATTTTTGTTGCAAGTTTTTGATTTTTTATGACCCTACACAAAAATTCAAATTTAGAGTGATTTTGGTTTTGAGCTTCTATCTATGTAACAGATGATCATTACTAAGCAGCTGAGATGTCATTATCAAGAGCATGACTTACCCTTTCAAATAAAAATAAAAGCAGTCAAATCGGTCGGAAAAATCAAAAGTTATGAATTTTTGAAAATCGTGCGCAAAAACTTTCGGGACGATCTATACAATGTGATGGCTTTTACGGGTCACCGGAGCAAATGATTTTTAGAGCCGGGAAGCAAAGAAGCCCTAACATGCTGTATACCATTCGAAAGCTGAGATCATGGAGAATCGACGTAGACCGTCGACTTTTTTCTAGGTCTTCTGTGCCGCGAGATATGAGGGATTTTATGTGCTTCAAAAATTAACTGATTTTGTGCCCTCACTTTCTGCTCTCCAAAATGCTACGAGGATAAATAAATAATATAAATAAATATGAATACCGTTTCTTTAGTAAATTTATGAGTGTGCTTGTTGTTTGAGGTACTTAGCCTGCAAAACCTTTTAATAACGATTTTTATCATATTCTCAGAGTACAATACCAACCTCAGCCCAGGTGAAGGGGGTCATCGGGAGTTTGGCCTCAAAGTGAAGGGGGTAAGATCCATCACTCCCCCTATCGCAACTATGCTTCGAAGGGAGTATTTTGCGGCGCTACTTGAGGGTTTGCCTAGTGTGGGGGCCCGCACTAGTATGCCACCGAAATCTCATCAACCCTCACTTTGGGTGGACGGTGCCTTTAAGGACTGTCTGCAACGAAGCCGATAGCACTCCCGCTATGCTATTTTTGTGGATTTAGACGAAACTGATGGCAATAGAAGATCAAACTCTTGCGGAGTTTATTCCGTAGGTTCATGCTCATTATAAGTACTGTGTTGTGTATCTAACACACTTTTTTGAGGAAAGCAATGACGAAGCAGCCGAAAACAGCTATGCTGCAATTTAGGATGAGATGGGTTCTGCGCAGTAGAAGTCCACCAGAGAAATACGAGGCATGCATATCACAATCTTCCTAATTAGCAAGGAGCAGTAACGCCTCTTTTTGAAGGGAGAACTTACGTTAAAGCAGCATCTACCCACTCTTGTTTTTCACAACACATCAGCGATTGCTCCAGCCAACCATATTGCTAAATGTGTTATAGATCCTGCACGTGTTAGTTTTTTGTTATTTTTTTGGATTTTTCTTGACTATTTCATTTAGGTGGTGCTTATGTCGATTCATTACGTAAAGGTTTACTTTCCTGGGTACAAAGGTGTTCGCGTACCACCAGAAAAAGCCCATATACGGTGTTTTGCTTTTTTAATACTTTTAAATTGCTAAGCCCTATCAATTTTTCCTGTTGCAGGCACTATCGTGCTCTCAACGACAATTTTGGAAAACCATGGATACCGAGTATTTTGAAGAGATTGAAGATAGCCGAAAAGTTTGGCAACTTTACAACGACCAATTATCCTGAGCATCTACAGGGTGTCCCAAAAGTCCTTAAGCCTAACTTTTCAACGTAGTAACTTTATTAGTTTCCATGCTTTTCAGCCAAATTTTGCATTTGAGTTCTTCGTCTAGTTGCCAGTATTCTTCAAGAAAATCATACCGTTTGCGTTGTACATTCTCGAGTTATACTTCTTGAAGCAAACAATCAATCGTGAAGACAAGCCAAAGGAAACGTACCCCCTATTCAAATATTTACAGCTCTTTTACCTTTAGAGCTCTTGTGGAATCTTGAACTGCATACTGTTGAGCTAGGTTCACTCTACATTTACAGTGCAAAACCAATCGATAGCCTTCGTTCATTAGAGTAGGATTAGGATACAAACACTAAAGTTGTGCCGTGCCAATAGAAAGAAAAAGTTCTCGGAAACGAAAACCTGGGAAAGCTGAAAACTCCAACACCGAATCAGTTTGAGTCACTAATTCTAGCTGTGAGCCCTGCATTTCCTACTGAAATACCATTTTAAAGTCACTCTCTGTACACCATAATTGCTGTTTTCTTGGTGTTCTCAAACACTTGAATGCTACATTTTGACACTTTTGTCAAATCTCACAGATATGCTTCTCAGATTTACGTGCCTTCAATAGCCGGGTCAAGAGGCCCTTGACTTTTCTTTGTGATCAGTCATGGAAAACAAGGTTTGCGCTATTCCATGCTAAATTTTGGACAGTCTGGATTGCTTGCTTCAGAAGGTGTGAGACAATCTCGATGTGGAGTACTGGCTGCCATGGTGCATGCATTCCGCAAGCGTCTGAGAGCCTGTGTTTAGGCCAAAGGAGGGTTTTCCGAAATCTGAGTGTATCATGTTGTTTTGTAGGTTCTTCGCAAATTACCTGTTGAATTTCATGCATTTACGTTGCTTCGTACATTTTCAGCGGAGGAAATACTAGGCTTAAAGACTTTTGGGACACCCTGTAATGTGGAATTTATACGAGAACGTTGAAAAAAGGTTATCTCGGGTTTATGGAGGATTTTAACATAAATGCATTACTGTTTAACTGCCCGCATGGCTTGTACTCGATGTTTTTCAAAACTAAAGATCGTTTTTTGAGTTCTGCGCTTCAAAAATGGTATATGTATTTACATATAAGACTGAATGTCTGCCTCTATGTCTGTCTGTGTGTCTTTACGTATGTTCCGAATAAAAACTTCCATTTTTGGACCAAGCCGGATCAAACTTTGCACACACACACATCGGGCGGGCGGGTGCCGCAGGCTACTCCTCTTTATCGTTATTGATTTTGAGCTACGGGGCTGGGAGTTGGCGTAGGGAGGGAGATTACGGAAACAAAACGGAAATAGGACAAATGGCATGTAGCGAGCACAGATTGGTTGTGCAAGCGGATCAAGTATGGCGCGTGCCTAACAAACTAACTATCTCTTGCTACGTAACTTGGAACATGTTAACATACTCCACTTTGCCGTTATTGTCCAGTCGCAGTCAAACTAATGACACTCTTCTTGCCCAGAATTCTGATAAACGTTCAAAACTCTGACTGCAAATATATTCCTTTTTCTATGTTCTAGTCAGCTTTTAGCACTGGACACATAAATCATAAAAGAATAGAGACAACAATTTATTGCGGTTTGTTCATAAACTATTCAGTTTTTTCTTAGCAATCTACACTTTTGCAATAAATCTCAAATCGATTCGCGATCCATTTTTGCTTAAACGAAAAAATTTTATGTTTGTAGACGCTACTTCAAACAAGAGTAAACAATGTTTTTCAGTACTAGTGTAATGTGCTTTGCCAAGTATCACATGCACGGATAGCGGATTTTACGTTTACATAACGAGTAGCAGCGGAGTGACATTGAATACGACGAAAACTAATTATCAAGACAAGAGAAGAAACCTACAAAAAACCCTCGAAGAAAACTGGACTCGTTGGAAAGCTTGTGTATTTTCAATTAGGCAATGTTAAATTGAATATCGTTTTTATTATACGTTTTATGTGACCGCGTATGTTTGCATCCATTAGTAGAAACATATATAAAAGACTGTAGGAAGCCTTTAGTGTTGGTTGTGCATTTGTGTATCGAACTTATACTCTTTCTCTCATCCTTACTCGATGTAGTTTTCTAAGCTCTTTCCCAAATTCTTTTAGCCTTGTCTGGTAGTTTCATAGTTAACAATTTCTACTAGTATTTATCCGGTATCGGCCATAATGATTCATCGCCGCTGGCCGACGGCTTAGGTACGATCTTCTGTAATTTATCCATATTAGTTAGAGAGGTCACTTGCGTTTTGTTCGATCACATGGTTTGTCTCCTTGCTAATAAATAGTTGTTGGGAACTGACTTCGTTAAGGCCGGCGAACACCAATCACCTTATGTAAGACATTTTCATCAATCTCAGCACTAGCTGCTCTGCGGAACCATGCCGAGCCTTACATGGAGGTTCCGGCGAGATCTATACAGCGTTAATAACTGAAGTCGAAATTTTAGAAACATGAGCATTGCTGACGAACGCTTTGAACATCTGCGCGATATCCTAAGTATTATTAGAGACGAAACTCCAATAACCCGAAGACCTATCAAAAGAATGGGAAAAGGAGCAAGAAAAAGCTATGGCCATGCCACCTCTGGGAATGTATGCTCTCCGCCCGTTTATTTTCACTTATCGCCACGTTTCTGGAAGAAGAATGTAACTGCCTTTTAAATGCATAAGAACGCAGAACATTCCTCGTCACTGCAATCGCCTATTTGCTCTATCTTTGATAGCTTTCAATGGCAGCTGCGAACAATTCATTTCAAACTATTTTTCTTGCAAAAATTTGCCCGAAAATCAGCAAAAAAAATCGCTTTTGTGTAATTCACGTCCCAGAGGCCCCTTCCACAATTTACAGAAACATCTGTATATAGACATGGTCATTCACTTAATGCTCCGAATACTCACTGCTTGACGTTTCACCTGAATGCTCTACTCTGCTTGCTCTCCATGTCGAACAAGTTCGGTTGATTTTGGCCAATTACCTAAAGCTATTTTCTATCTACTCAATCGTCTACGTGAAAACCCCAGAAAACTTCAAGGAACAGCACAAAGACTCCGATGTTTGGAAACCATGTTCATCTGAAAAATCATACTAACCCGCTTTCTCGTATCGCACCACTATTTTCGAACAACGTAGCGCTATATTTTGAAAATCGTGGAAACACCATAGATTCCAATTGCATTTATCATTAGATAAAATGGAAAAAAATATTTGATGAGGCTTTCAGTTTCAATTCAATCCTGAGTCCTTCTTCTGCACAAAAAAGTCGGGTGGTTGTCTTCCCGTTCACAACGCGCACAGTATACGCGGGTAATACAGGCATGGCTTTCATGGAGTTCGGCACATCGTCCGCAGAGGCAATAGGCAAATACGATCCTGACCCGGGTGCGAAAATCCAACTCCACCTCACAAGCAGAGGTGCGGTGTCCGTTGACTCCACATATGACGCACCCCAAACGGGGGTAGACGTTAGGGAAATCTCTATCTGGCCCGAGCATCGGCGCCACTTCTTCATCTCCGTTCACATTGGCGTCCGCATGCAACTCTACCTCCCGCTCGAACTCAACCAGTCGGGTGAGAAGCAGCATTTTTTCCCGACTGCTCAGGGCTCGAGCTCCTAACCCAAAGTATGGATCATAGGGACCTTCCGGTGACTCCCTGTCACTCGCTTCCCATCTTTCGCTCGACGTCGTGCTGGCAGTCTCATTACTAGCATTCGGTTCTTCGGGTATTTCTTTTTCAACTCCGTCGACAGGCATCATCTGTAAAGTAGAAATGAAATCATAACTATATCCTCTTGTAGAAAAATGTTAGCACATTTGAATTTTTGAAAGCTTCTCCTTTTTAGAGTAGAATGAAACAGTCTTGTCCTAGTATTTTATGTTTCATCTTGTTTTCCGCCAATTTTATTTGCAGAACCAGCAGCGTCCAATATGTCGTCATCAATCACAGCGCGATCATTGCGACATCAACGCAGGGAGAACGAAGAGAAGCAATTTTCGAAGCAAATTGGAAAAAGCTGACCATGCCAGAAGAAAGATCAAGCATGTCAGAAGAAGGAGAAAGAAGCAAACCCACCACGTCACAAGGAAGAAGTGCAACATCTTCTATTTCGGACAAGGAATTTCAAGATCGGACTCCGAAAAAAAAAAACTCCTGAGGAATGCCTGACAACTGTTACCATTTCACCTAATAGATGGAGCGAAACCGAAGTACCAGCAGATTCCGAATCGAGAGAAGATACCTTGGAAGGAACTGGTAACGGAGCTAGCCAAGCGAATGAAGAACAACCACTCATCAAACAGATGGCCATTGATTTTTTTCATTGAGGGCCTCAATCCTGAGATTGAGAGCGGTTAGAAGATTACTTGATACGGACGAATTGGACGAGATAGCATGCAGTGCAGAAAAGGAATGTCGCATTTTGCAACAAGAAAGAAAAGAAGACAGAGAAGCTCTCCAAGCCGTCAACACTCTTTTTTATAAACGAGAAAATCAATCGGTTTGAGCAGCAGTTGAGGTAGACAAAAGCAACACCATGACAGAAACCTACTGATAATCATAATGGATATAGATCAGGCAGATACTGAGGACATTGCGAGCTACTAAGATCCTTCCTCTAGCCCATGAGGATATCCCAGATACCCACCTTTCCTCATGCTCTTCAGGATGTCACAATTCAGGACTATGTTTCATGCATGGCTCGTCAAGAAGAATGAAGCGCTTTACACGATATCTTCGGGACAAGAAAGACGGCTACTTGCAATCAGACAACTCGGATTCCAGAATTCAATACATGCTCTATATCTTGACGGAAATTTCTCGCTGAAACAGAACGCTGAAACGTCACCAATAGCGACCTTAAGAGAGCAACGCGACTGTACAAATTTGAAGACCTATGCCATCTCGCACTACATTCGATATGGTATGGCGAACATCGCATGAAGCAATTACACCTATTTGCGGAAGTTGCGAGAAGGAACCACCGAACTATGCGGTAACCACTACTCATCGGGAGGAATCTGGAATATCTACGATTTCCGATGATTTGGAAAAGGAATCCGGGAGCTTCGCTACCAATTCACCGGGATCGTCAAAAGTAGATTGGAAGCCTAGAGTCCCTTATTTCAACAGTCCTATTATGATTACTACTACTACTACTACTACTACTATTATTGCTACTACTACAAGCCCCTACAACCACAAGTCCGCCTACAACCACTGCTTACTACTACAACCTTGTCTATTACCACAACCCCGCCTACAACCATAACTTCGTCCATAACTACAACGAAGCCTACTACTACAACCGCCCCTACAACCACAATTCCATTCATAACCACAATTCCCCCCCCCCTACAACTACAATACCGCCCACAACCATTATGACATCTACTACTATGATCCCGCCCACAATCACAACGAAATCCTCTACCACAACGCCGTCCACAACTAAATGAAGCCTACAACCACGACTACGCATACGACCACAATCCCGCCCAGACGACAATGAATCCTGTACCTATAGCAAGGATGCCTACGACTACAACTAAAATTCTACCCATAATTTTTACGACGCCCACAACCGAGACCCGACCCGCAGTTACGACGACACCTACAACTACGATTTGGTCCACATCTACACGTTTATCGATAACGACATCGATGATGACAACAAAGCCCTCAGCGACTATCTCTAAGACGTTAAGCAGCCCGAGCCCCACGCCTTCTACGGAAGGAACTTCTCTTACTATACCGACTATATTCACTACGACTACGGTACGGCCCCAACTATCCGAAAAGATATTGGAAGAACATCAAACTTTTCCGTCACCGTTCACTATTGCAACTACTACTACTTCCTTCATCACGCCACCAACAGAACCTGAAGTATACTATCATACACCCATGCGCATCCTACAGCCGATAATACCACCTAAAATTCCAACATCAATCCCTCAACTAGAAATCTTGATGAGGGCAACAAACTACGTCTCTATGGATTGGACTGCATCAGTAGTGGATTCAGTACTATCGACTGTATCAGTAGTAGGTTCAATACTGTCATCAAGGGTACCTACTGCGACGATGATCATGCCAGCTACGATGACGAAGGAAGAAAACGCTTCAGTAACACGAGAAGCTACAACCTTCTCTACAACATTTACAACTGCTTCCGTGTCTATACAACCATTCGATACGGAAATATCTTCACGAAATTTTGCGGTGCGACGTCAGTTCAACAACATTTGTGTCCGACAATTCTTGGGAGCACAACGCATACGCGCTTTGAGCTCCGTTGATCCAACATGGGCTGTAAGAATTCTACTAGGAAGAACCGACATCACGGCCGCTCGGACTGCTGAAAATTTGCTGATTACGAAATGTCGTCAAGTAACGCCTACATTCGTCTACGAAAATCATACGGTTGATGCAACATGCTATATGCTGAAACCGGTCAAAGTCAACAGTGAACTTTGGTTTCACGTACCGGGAACGCAAGATCTGATACGGACATCGAGTACTATCCCCTGCCCTTATCCATTACCAAAACGCCCTAACATGACGCAGAAGTTGGTACTACCGAGTAGTGTTATCAACGATCACGCGAAGCCTTTCCTCTTCGAAGCCCCGCCTACCTTCTATCGATTGCTCGACAGTTACGCCCCATCAATCATCCCACAGATGGAAGCGATAAGACAAGAACAAATGGAGATGGCCCTGCGACTTCAGAAAAGAGGAATCATAGACGAAGCAGTTTCGCGCATACGAAACACCAGCGCGTCTTTGGGTCAGTCTTTAATATCTCTTTATGAAAAAACGACACAGAAGCTTTCGGCTGGAGTAGAAGATATCAAATGGTCTGTTTTATACACTGTACTCTGGATTGCAGTACCCGCCGTCATTATCCTGCTCTGTGTCGCCGCGTGCGTGATCTATGTGAAGCTCTTCTTTATCAGGCGTGCAACATCAACGGCCGCTTCAGCCATGTTCGACATCGCCAGGAATTTCGTCCCAAAGGGAAGAAGTCGAAGACATCCACGTGCGATAAACATGCTGATGACAGATATGTCACAAAACGTAGTTGAGGAAGAGCCACTTTTCGTGCCAAGTGTAAGGTTTGGCCTAGTTCTCGTAGGAATCGTAGCGGAAATTCAAACTAATTTACCTTTTAGATGTAGATTACTTTGTTCGGCCAACCTTAACAATTTTCCCAACAACTCTTTATTCCTAAAAAGGACAGCCGACACATCGATCAAAATCTGATTCTAGGAAAGAAAGCCTCTACGGAGAAAGCATGAACATAAGTGCAAAGAAGGGAATACTAAAAGAAAATACACGCACAAAGTGGGGATAAGAGAGGAGAGAAGGAGAAAGGCTAAAACTCAGTCATGATCAATCCTCATTCACAGCCAAACCTCAGCTATATATACGCTGTACCTTGATGAGAAATTACGATCACATATGTTTTCTAAATACAAGAAATTGCGCTATTTTCCACTTCAGCAGTTGTCCTTCTTTCTTCAATGTGTCCTCTGAAAGGCCGTTATTGTACCATAGCCGGTCTTCTGATTAATTGCAGCTCCGCTATCAATTACATGCATCCTTGTTTTCGAGGCTTCTGAAACTCGTTCTCTACATCCACGGGGTACCAAAAGGTTGCGTCCCGTAACCTTCATCCTCGCCTTATGACTCCGAAGGTATTATTTCCTCTTCTCATTGTACCGTTCTTTTCAGAAAATCGTCGAAATGTCGCTATCTCCGAATGTTGACTTCTTCTGCCTGCCAAATGTTGACTTCTTTTGCATAGCTCGTAATTTCTTTGTTTTCGCCGCGCGGCTCATGGACGATGATGCATCATTTGGTACGTTTCGATTAAAGTCCACATCTTCTTTTGCATATGCTTAATTATAATATTGTGGTCCTCATCTATAATCACTGAAATATCCTTGCGGCTCGCGTCTCGAGGCAACTGGAATGGTTGCGCAGGCCGGGTTCCGCGACGCGATTTCTTCTAAAATCATAAATTACCATTTGCCTCCTCAATTGTCCAATAACCGCATAAAATTTCGTTGCGCAACCATTTTTTTTATTATAGATGACCGCGGTGGACCGCTCCTTTTGCGTGAACAGCTGTTCTAATCGTGGACTCTGCATCAAATCGGATCTTGGTTTTACTTGCTTATGCGATGAAGAAGAAGACGAGTGCGAAGGGGTAATACCCGCGTCTACGCTGGTTGTACCCACGTCTACGCTATCTATACTGGACATCCGACAAGATTTTTGGATTCTTATAATTACCGGTGGTGAGTCATACCTCTAGCGTTGCTGCAATTACGAAAGTATACTGGCCTTTTACAGTCACCGTCGTCGTGGGATGTTTTTGCCTGATGATAGGATTAATTGCGTGTCGACGACGTCATCGCCCAAAGATCCCTGAATTGAGGAGTCACATTCCGCTGGAATCACCCGCTCTGGAAGTGCCGTTGCATTTTGAGGAACCCATGGAAGAGATTCCTCTGGATTGATTTGCTCTCTTCTCGCATACAGTTTTTGCTCAAAAGGTGCTCTACTTTCCCTACAATGGCAATGCTATTAATATAATTGGTTAATAAAAATAAATCATCTTTTGACATACAATCAAAACATGATTAATAGTTGTTGGGAAAAATTTTCTTTTTTTTTTCTTTTTTTTTGTCTTTTTTTTCTTTCCCTCTCTCTTCATGACATGAGTTCCTTGTGCAGTTTTGTGCGGTCGACGTGGATAGTTCTTTCACGTTTGCCATCTCGAATTGTGATGTTGGGAAGATTGATGTCGATAATGGGGAATGGTCCTTCAAAACGCGCTGCAAGTTTATGGACACCGTCTCTTCTTATCCAAACTTTTTCCCCAATGTGATACTCGGCTTTGGGGGTCCTTGCTCTTAGATCGTAATGACGTTTCTGCTGATCCTGTGCTTTTACAAGATTTGAATAGACATGTTGATACGTATCCTTCAAGATTTGGGTAAGATGGTTTACATAGTCCTCTGTATCTGCAAACTTCTTTGTTGGTAGCTGGAGAGCCAGTTGAAAAATATCGATAGGATTATGGCCGTGAATGAGAAAAAAGGGTGAATATTTGGTTGAAGCGCTTTCCGCACAGTTGCAGGCGTGTACTACAAAATGAAGGACGTAGTCCCATTCATCATTATGTTGACGAGTAGCGATGGCGATTTGTTCCTCTAATGTGCGATTGGTTCGTTCGACTTGTCCATTCGATTGGTGATGATATGGGGTGCTTGTACAATGATTAACGTGTAAATTTCGTAGAAGTGTACGAAACGTTTCGCTCATAAAGTTAGATCCTTGGTCCGTTACTAGTGCTTCTGGTAGTCCAAATCTGGCCACAAAGCGCGTGGTAAAAATACGTGACGTAGTATCGGCCTTTTGATCAGGTATCGGTTCCGCGACTATGTACTTGGAGAACGAATCGATGAAAACAATAATGTACTTGTTTCCCTCCATAGTGAGCGGCAAAGGGCCAATTACATCGGAGTGTACCCGTTGCCATGGTTTTGTAGGTAACTCGAATGGACGCAGCGGCTCTCTTATTCTGTAAGCACTTGGGTCCTTCCTTGCTTGACATGAGTGACAGGAGTTAACAAAATTTGCAATATCCTTGCGCATGTGATTCCATATGGCAATTTTCTCGACAACGGCTTGGGTTTTACTAATCCCTAAATGTGCTGCCGCTAGTTGAGATTGATGGGCCATAGCGACGATATCGTTTTTGATCTGGGATGTTTCTGGTAGTATCACTTGAGGGTCCTGGTCTAGACGATTGGGCACTCTATAAAGAATGTCGTTTATGAGAATATAATTGCTTAACATCGCAGAGTTTTCATTATTCGCTAAGGCGGTCTTGATCCTTGCGATCCATACACACTCGTCTTGTTCCTTACGTACTGTATCCATTTGAAGGTTATCGCTTGTGATGTATGTGATAGCATTCGCAGCGGGAGGTAGGTGTCGAGACAGTGCATCGCATACTGCATTCTTCTTTCCCGGGCGGTAAACGATGTCAATGTCAAATTCCTGCAACACAATCTGATATTTTGCTAATCTTCCCGTAAGATCTTTCCGGTGGAGAAGTGCCTTCAAAGGTGCATGGTCAGTGATGACCGTACACTTGGCTCCATCTATGTACGGGCGAAACTTCTGAACTGCGTAGACCAGGCCTAATGCTTCAAGTTCTATTGCCGGATATCTTGCTTCATGCTTGTTCAGGGTGCGGCTCGCATAGGCGATGACACGTTGTAATCCATCCTGTTCCTGCTTAAGAATACCGGCTACTCCTTTCGCTGAACTATCGGTTTCAATGGTAAAAGGTTTACCTAACCGTGGTGCTGCAAGGATAGGTGCCGTTGTCAGCGCTTTTTTCAGGTATTTCATGGCTTCTTCGCATTGAGATGTCCAATCGAAAGGTGTATTCTTCTTCGTCAGTGCGGTAAGGGGGGCGGCTATAGTAGCGAAATTATGGATGAATCTCCGGAAAAATGAGCACATTCCTAAGAATGACTTGACTTCCGTTGCGTTTGTTGGTTGAGGGTATTGATCGATCGCCTTTGTTTTCTCGGGGTTGGGTCTTATACCTTCTTTACTCAGGATGAATCCTAGAAAATTTCTTCCTTTGCAAATTCACATTTTGACGCCTTCAGCTTCATTCCTATGATTTCTATCTTCCCTAAGACTTCGTCAATATCTTCCAAGTGTTCTTGTGGGCTAGCTGACGTGATGATAAGGTCATCAATGTATATGAAGACTCTTGCTCTCAGATACTTTTTGAAGTCATCCATTATCCTTTGGAACGTAGCAGGGGCTCCTTTCAGTCCCATAGGCATGCGGATATATTCGAAGGCTCCGAGAAAACATGCAAATGCCGTTCTTTCACAGTGTTCCTCTTCCAACGGAATTTGATGGAAACCTTGTTGAAAGTCAAGAGAGGAGTAGAGACACTGATTAGCGCAAAGGTCAATGATGTCCTGGATATTCGGAAGGATCGATTGCTGTGGTTTCGTGATGGCGTTGAGCCCACGGAAGTCAATTGTAAAACGCCAAGCATTTGCTTCGCGTTTCTTCACTAACACAATAGGTGCACAGAATGGCGAATTTGATTCCCTAATGATTCCGTCCTTCAGCATTTGTGTTATTTGCTTCTCAATTTCCTGTCGCTTCTCTAGAGGTACCCTGTAGATCTTCCTAGCTGGTATCGCCGCGTTTTCGATGAGATCGATCCGATGACGTATATTCCCTTTATAATGTCCAAGGTGTCCGTCTGGTCCCACGAAAGCGTTAGCATGATATCTAATAATATTTCGTAATTGGTTTTTCTGAGGTTCCGTTAAGTTGGAGCGTGATAGGTCGATTTCTTCGGCGATGTCATAATCTTGAGACGTTAGGACTGGAAATCTGGGCAGACGAGTTTCCCAGTCTGCCTCCGGTGGGACGCGGAAATCGTTGTTACCATCTGCTGAGTAGTCATTGATATATGTGACTGAGGGGCAGAAAACATCTTCCGAAGGCACGGCTTGTGGAACTTGTAGTTGCTGCACCCATACTTCCGACGCACAAGCGGGATATGCCAGTGCTATTCTGAGCTTCTCAGGGAGTGTAACATGAGACATAGATGGGTTGAGGATGTTAATATAGCAAGTTCCATCCAAATTCGGGGTAACAAGGGTTCGACCGACAATGAAGATTTCGTTCATCGGCCTGAGATTGTCTTCAATGAGAAAATCTCTACATCTCGGCCAGGTAAGTCCTTCAATACGCGCTTCCACCATGTTGTTAGTTCTTCTAGGTAACGATACTTTGTTGGTAAGTCCTACATCGTATGATGGTATTATTGCTAGTGTGATGTAATTGACTGAAACCAAATCTATCGTCTCAGGTCCTATCCGTATCGTTTTGTGGTATAGATCGAATGAAACTAAAAGACCATCTTCGTTTAACGCTCGAATAAAGTCGGATCCTAATAGGAGCGGAACGGGGCAATCTTTCTCTGCCGCTACGTGGAAATTATGATATATTACATGCGTTCCAATCTGTACTGGAAGGCGGATTGATCCCACGAGTTGTATTGTCGTGCCGTTCGCCGTTGTTGCCAATTTTGGGTCTCCCTCAAGTGGTCTTCTATCTTGAATCAGCGAGAGAGTTGACATCCTCATGTATGAAATGGTTGCTCCGCTATCGAGCAAAGCTGTAACACTACTATCTCCAACCCTGACTTCCAGATATGGTAGATATTGCGTTGTTCCTACGCCAACTGCGTAGATCCTTGGCACGAAAAGTGGCTCTTCCTCAACTACGTTTTGTGACATATCTGTCATCAGCATGTTTATCGCACGTGGATGTCTTCGACTTCTTCCCTTTGGGACGAAATTCCTGGCGATGTCGAACATGGCTGAAGCGGCCGTTGATGTTGCACGCCTGATAAAGAAGAGCTTCACATAGATCACGCAGGCAGCGACACAGAGCAGGATAATGACGGCGGGTACTGCAATCCAGAGTAAAGTGTATAGAACGGACCATTTGATATCTTCTACTCCAGCCGAAAGCTTCTGTGTCGTTTTTTCATAAAGAGATATTAAAGACTGACCCAAAGACGCGCTGGTGTTGCGTAGGCGCGAAACTGCTTCGTCTATGATTCCTCTTTTCTGAAGTCGCGGGGCCATCTCCATTTGTTCTTGTCTTATCGCTTCCATCTGTGGAATGATGGATGGGGCATAACTGTCGAGCAATCGATAGAAGGTAGGCGGGGCTTCGAAGAGGAAAGGCTTCGCGTGATCGTTGATAACACTATTCGGTAGTACCAACTTCTGCGTCATGTTAGGGCGTTTTGGTAATGGATAAGGGCAGGGGATAGTACTCGATGTCCGTATCAGATCTTGCGTTCCCGGTACGTGAAACCAAAGTTCACTGTTGACTTTGACCGGTTTCAGCATATAGCATGTTGCATCAACCGTATGATTTTCGTAGACGAATGTAGGCGTTACTTGACGACATTTCGTAATCAGCAAATTTTCAGCAGTCCGAACGGCCGTGATGTCAGTTCTTCCTAGTAAAATTCTGACAGCCCATGTTGGATCGACGGAGCTCAAGACGCGTATGCGTTGTGCTCCCAAGAATTGTCGGACACAGATGTTGTTGAACTGACGTCGCACCGCAAAATTTCGTGGAGATATAATTTCCGTATCAAGTGGTTGTATAGACGCGGAGGCAGTTGTAGGTGTTGTAGAGAAGATTGTAGCTTCTCGTGTTGCTGAAGCGTTTTCTTCCTTCCTCATCGTAACTGGCATGATCATCGTCGTAGTAGGTATCATTGATGACAATACAGAATCTACTACTGATACAGTCGATAATACTGAGTCCACCACTGATATAGTCCAATCCGTGGAGACGAATCTTGTTGTCCTCATCAAGATTTCTGGTTGAGGAGTTGACGTTGGAATCTTAGGTGCTATTATCGGCTGTAGCATGCGCATAGGTGTATGATAGTATACTTCAGGTTCTGTTGGTGGCGTGATGAAGGAGGTAGTAGTAGTTGCAATAGTGAACGGTGACGGAGAAGTTTGATGTTCTTCCAATATCTTTTCGGATAGTTGGGGCCGTACCGTAGTCGTAGTGAATATAGTCGGTATAGTAAGAGAAGTTCCTTCTGTAGAAGGCGTGGAGCTCGAACTGCTTGACAAATTGGATGTAATCGCTGACGGCTTTGTTATCGTTATCGGTGCCGTTATCGGTAAACGTGTAGATGTGGACCAAATCATGGTTGTAGGTGTCGTCGTAACTGCGGGTCGGGTCTCGGTTGTGGGCGTCGCAAAGACTATGGGCAGGGTTCTAGTTGTAGTCGTAGACATCGTTGTTGTGGGTACAGGATTCACTGTCGTCTTGGGCGAGGTTGTGGTCATATGTGGAGTCGTGGTTGTGGGCAGGGTTGTAGTTGTGGGCAAGGTTGTGGTTGTAGGCAGGGTTGTGGTTGTAGGCAAGGTTGTGGTTGTGGGCAAAGTTGTAGTTGTGGGCAAGGTTGTGGTTGTGGGCAGGGTTGTAGTAGATAGGGTTGTGGTAGACGACTTTGTTGTGGTTGTGGGGGAAGTTGCAGTGGTGGTAGTAGTAGTAGTTGTAGTAGTAGTGGTGGTAGTAGTAGTCGTAGTAGTAGTGGTAGTAGTAGTAGAACTGTTGAAATAAGGGATTCTGGATTTCCAGTCCACATTTGACGATCCCGGTAAGTTGATCGCGAACCTCCCAAATTCCTTTTCCAAATAATCATCAAACATCATAGATATTCCAGATTCCAAATCCCGACGGATGTTGATTACCGCATAATTCGGTGGTTCATTCTTCGCACTTTTCGCAAATAGATGTAGTTGCTTCATGCGGTATTCGCCATATCGTATCGTGCGTAGTACAAGATGACGTGGATCTTCAAATTTGTATAGTCGGGCTGCTCTCTTGAAATCACTGTTGGTGATATTCCAGCGTTTTATTTCAGCGAGGATCTTCCACCAAGTTATAGGGCGTGTATTGAATTCTGGAATTCTGCTCAATTGTTTGACTGCGAATAGCCTTTTAATCAAAGACACAGATTCCATCGGTACCATTTCAAAGGGAAAAGTATTGCCATCTTTGTCTCGAAGATATCGTATAGCTCGCTTCATTCTTCTCTGATGAGTCATACGTAGAATATAGTCCTGGATTGTAACGTTTCGGGGGACGTAAGGAAAAATAATGATGTGATTTGATGTCGTAAGGTAGCTGGTGTCGAGTTGGCAGTGCTTGGTAAGTTGCTGGTGTAGCAAAGAGTCCTCAGAAAATCGAAAAACAAGATCCGGGTGAGGCAGGACTATATAGTCGCGAGTGACAAAAGCTTCAAAAACTCCTACATGTTCGTATCTGCATGCCGGAGTGGTTTCCGCTGGCTCCCAGACAATAGTATATTCTTGGGTGAGACAAGATCCTTGTGTATAGAGACAATCCTGGGTATCTCCTAGCGAATTGATAATATGATATCCATCGAAAGTAGCAAGTTGTCCTTCTTCTATTGTATATATGCTACGAAGGTAGTTTCTTGTTCCCCATAAAGGTATTACTATATCGTCGTCCTCGATTTCTCTCGTGCTTCGGAGTCCATCAGCTTGCAGAATAAGCTCATGGTCGTGTATCTTGCCTGTCTCTTTTGCTTTTACACACAGCTCTTGGGGAATCGATACACGTCGACGTCGCAATATAGTCGTTGTTGTCCGGATGCGAAGAAAACTGCTGATGGATACCTCGATAGCATCTCTGTAGCACTTAGTTGCGTTGTACCAAGTAGGATTGGAATTGTCCGCAAATAGTTGTACCGTGGTTCGCATCATAGGAGTATTGATCGGAGATGTACAATCAAATGCTTCTGGAAGTGAAAACACATTTGAATATGGATTCACGCCACATATCTGATATTCCGCCGTTACGTAGCCGCAGAACATGACCAATGTCATCACACAGAGTAGGTGTGTTCCCGGGGT